TCCATAATAAAAATGGTATAAGCACAATTGATTATGCAATATGTGATGCAAATATAATCGACAACATTAATTATTTTATTGTGAAACCCCCAAACTATCTACCTGACCATAGCCAAATTATTACATGGATAGATATTGAAGAAACTACAACCGAGGCATCCACTACTTCTAACACCAATTTCTCCAATGTACTCCCTCACCAATATATCTGGGACAATACATCTAATGGGACATTTGCTAATTGCCTTAGATCGTCAGACATCCAAAATGCACTAGAAATTTTCTGGAAAACCATTTCTCTGAGAATGATATTACAGAGTTAATGAATGTCTTGAAGAATTCCAAGATATATTACAAGAAACTAGCAAAAGGTGTTTAAAAATAACAAAGACTTCGAAACGATGCAAAATTAGGAATACAACCAATAAAAAATGGTTTGACAGGGAATGTAGGCTTAAAAGACATGCTGTTAGAAAATTAGCCAATCAAAAACGCAGAAACCCATCAGACGTCAATATAAGAAATCAGTATCATGTTACCTTAAAAGACTACAAAAATACTTCGAAAATCAAGAAAGAGGATTTTCACAGACAAAAACTAACTGAACATGAAAAAACGGCCAGTGAAAATCCCAACTCTTTTTGGAAAACACTCAAAACTATGGATAACACAGATAACACAACTCCAAATTTAATCTCAGAGAAACAATGGCTTACTCATTTCGAAACATTACATTCAAAACACAGTGTTGATTACAGCTCAACATAATATTCTTGAAATGCTAAATACAGAAGAAAAACTCAAAGATAATTACTCAGATTTAGACCAACCAATATCAGAACAGGAAATCAAGAATGCTATGAAGAAACTAAAAAATAATAAATCTACTTATAGATAGAATAAAAAACGAAATGATTAAATGTAGTATTACTATTCTTCTTCAAGCCTATCTCAAGCTATTCAATTTAATTCTTAAAACTGGGATTTTTCCCAAGCAATGGTGTGAAGGTCTAATCACCCCAATTTTCAAATCTGATGATAAACTTAACTGCAATAAGTATCGGGGAATTGCGTGTCAAGTTGTCTAGGAAAATTTTTCTGTCTTATATTCAATGACAGATCGCTAACATTTACTAAAGAAAATAACTCTCTTCACCCTTCACAGATTGGATTTTTGCCTGGACATAGAACAATGGACCATATACTAGCTTTTTAAAATCATTAGTTGATAAATATGTACACCAAAAAACCAACAGCAAAATATATACATGTTTTGTTGATTTCAAGAAAGCCTTCGATTCGGTTTGGCATAATGGCTTACTTCTAAAACTTCTTAGAAACAAAACTGGAGGCAAATTCTACAGTCTTATAATGCACCAGTCAAAGTAAACCCCGACCCCCGGCAAAGAGGGGACTTGGTGGGGATTTAGTAGCTTTTTGTCATCGAATTCTGTCCCAACCATGTCGGGAATTTGTTGGTTTTGTCATTCTGCCGAATTATGCCGGAGATAATGGGGATTGTTAGGGGATTGTCTGCGGCCATTTTGTACCGTTTTGTCCAATGGAATCCCCAGGTTCTACCATTTTATACCATGTGACAAAGGACAAAATGGCGTGCTCATAAGGAAATGAAATCGAGAGGAATTTTATAAACATATTAATTTAATTTCTTTTCAATCTATATGTTAATACCGGTTAATATGTCCATCCATCCATGGAATCTATTGTTGTGGAAAGCTCGACATTTGTTTGTTTATATTAATATGTTTTTATCGTTCTTTTGAGTTTTGGAACAAAATATTAATATTTTAGGGTGTGGACGGTTTATGCGGCGGCCCGGAGATTGTCGAGGAGATATTATGCAGGAGATAAATTCACTCACACAACTTAAAATTCCCCCCGGGGGTGGGGCATTTTTTGTCTTTTGCTAGAAAATTTTGTCCCATATTGTGGGGCATTTGTCTGTTTTGGTATGGTATTCAAAACCAATCCCCACCTATATCCCGGGGTGAGGGGGGTCGGGGTTTACTTTGACTGGTGCATAAAAAGTCTATATCGTAATTCAAAATCTGCTGTCAAACAGTCACAACATAGAACTCCATTTTTCCCATATTCTAAAGGAGTAAGACAAGGATATATCTTGAGTCCTCTTCATTTAATATTTATTTTAATAACCTTCCATCAATGTTCAATAATATAGCTTCCGATCCATAGATATCTTATATACACTAGATAGTGCATCTAATTATTCTGCAATTCAAAAATTGAAGCCGTGATTGCAGTCTCAGGTCGTTCCCATGAAATGAGAAGATTCGTATGTTTTCTATTTGTTAAACAGGGAACTTAAACATTAAGTTAACCCTATTCCAAATACATTTTCAAACTATTCAAATAATGAAAGTTATTGTTGTTTTTAAGCATTTATTAGCAAGTCTATTCAAATGTGGGTAACCGCTGGAATATTCTTGGCTTCAATTTTACTAAATGAGATGCGCTATCTAGTGTATATAAGATATCTATGTTCCGATCCCCTCATATTACCAAACAAGACAAAATTAAACTGTCTCTTGTACCGCTGATCTTGTTATACTTTCAAGATCAAAGATAGGTCTTCAAAACTGTCTGGATCAATTAAACAGTTGGTGCAAACAATGGTTGATGCAGATAAATTTAAAGAAAACAAAGATAATGATCTTACAGAAGTCAAATAAAAAGCGACTAATACCAAAATTCAGCATAGAAGACACAACACTACAATTTACCCAAGAATATACTTATCTAGGATTAAAACTTACGTCTACAGGGAAATTTACTTTAGCCATGAAGGAACTAGCTGAAAAGGCATTACATGAGGGTGGGAAAGGGAATTTTTGTGAGCCATGAATGGTGAATATTTGTTCGCGTGAAATGCTTGATTTTAGTGTTGTGAAATGTGATTTGTTCTACAGCTGTGAGGCGTGATTGTTGATAAAAATTGTCCGTGAAATGAGAATTACGGATGCCTGTTTCGTGAACTATGATTATTATAGTGATTATTATAATAAACATGATACGCGATAATCAAATTTATATGATCTCACTCGATTGCACAAGAGTGAATCGTGAAACAGCTTTTTTTTCGTTGTGAAACGTGATCCATACCCCCCTCTTACATGCTATGTTTGCTGTAAGGAAAAAAGTGACAGCATTATATCCCCAATTCTTCTTCATAATATTCAGAAGTGTGGGGAGCATTCACTACTACTGACTTGAATAAATGGGATCAAACTCCAACAGAGAAAGTTCACATAAGATTCTGCAAAATGTATTTAGTTGTTCACAAGAAAGCAACCATTATAGCATGTAGAGGGGAATTAGGCAAATTCCCACTTATCATTAGTATTCATAAATGAATAATAAAATACGTTGCCCATATAAACTCACTACCAAATTCTGCAATTGCAAAACAAGCTTTTCTAATTTCCAAAGATCTTTATATAAATAATAAACCTAGCCTGCACACTAACCTGATGAAATTACTAAAATTATATGACTCATCTGCTGAGATAAATGCGATAGATAATATTTCACCACCGCACAAATATCTTTATATATCAGAATGCCAAAGACAAATCATAAATTTCTGGAAACATAAACTAACAAACTCGTCCAAACTATGGTTTTTAAGTACCTTTAAATCTGAACATCAATTAGAGGAATACTTAAATATCATAAATAACCCGACACAAAGAAGAACCTTTACTCAATTTCGTATTAGCTGTCATAAATTACAAATTGAAATAGGAAGATACCACAAAATTCCACAAGAAGAGTATTTATGCGAATCAGTAACTGTGATTTGAATAAAGTCAAAGATGAATATCATTTTTCACTTTCCTGCAAATACTATGAAAAGTATAGAAATGAAATGAAATATTTCAGACACCATAATGGATAATGGAAATGGACCGCCTGCCCGCATGTAATTTGAAATAAGGGCCGGACGGGAAACTGAAGTCTAATTTGGAGTGGCCTAATCTCTTTCGCAAATTTTCTGAACTACATGTGAAGTAATCCAGGGAGACTTTCGTTTCCCTATACGTTTCTTTTTAAGTGAGGCATGTTTATCAATCACAGACATAAACAAATTCAACCATTCAGTCCACATATCATTAGGGTTGTTATGCAGACACACCTGCTCCCAATTTAGTTTATTTAAATCATTCAAATATGCATGTTCATTGAAGTTTCTGAAAATTCTCTTTTCAACAAAAGTATTTACCGGTGCCTTATGATATGTACATTTCCGAATAAGGTATACCAGAGAATGATCACTTATACCAAGAGAAAGAACACCGGAAGCTTTTACTTTATCAAGATTATTGGTAATACATAGATCGATCAATGTTTGTGAGGTATTAGTTATTCTTGTAGGTTCAAAAATTGTCTGTGAAAGATTGTAAATATCAAATATATTCAAAAGCTCAGACGTGTTGGAGTTTGGTGTGTTTGACAATAGGTTGCAATTCAAATCTCCAAGTAAATACAGTTCAGAATTCTCAGCATCTATCTTATCGATAATTTCCTCGAATAAAGTAAATAATTGTTGGGACGAGCTTGGAGGTCTATACCAAGTACCCACCAAAAACGGCCTTGAACGAGGATTAGAAATTTCGATTATTAGGATTTCTAGATCATTATATGCCAGATCTTCACGAATTCGAAAGTTTAGATTACTTTGTATATACATACAAACACTACCACCATTTCTACCATTAACCTTACGGTCTAGCCTAACAACATCATAGCCTGAAAGATAGATTTCACTGTTGCCGATGGACGAATCTAACTTAGTTTCATTTATAGATAATATATCGATTTTACTATTGTCCATAAAGATTCTTAAATCATCAATGTGAGCTAACAAACTATTTATATTTAGACAAGCAATTGCAAGACCATGGCTGAATAATCTAGTATATGGGGCTTCGGTATTAGAAATACGAGATGCGGATAAAGAATTAACAGACTCTCTTACAGCAATTTCCTAACAGGAATTTAATGTACTTAGAAATGTTCTTTGCTACAATAGAAGTTCCTTTACGATTAAGGTGCAATCCCCTTGTGTTTAGACAAGACAAATTAACCAATTTATGATCAATAAATGCCCATTGATTTTTAGAGCATATTGCTTTAATAAGCTTGTTAGCTTCTGTTGCTTTTGCCGATAGTTCAGATTTATCTGATCGTGGTAATATACTAGAGATCACAATGCTGGTTGCTGGGGAATCTTCTTCGATTTGGGTTGCGAAATTTGCAATCCCTTCAGCCACTCTCTTAGCAGATAGATGTTTTAAATCGTTAGTTCCTATGTGTAGAATGACGTTATACGGCTCCTTACGAAGGATGGGCTTTAAATAGTCTTCCATGTCTGTTATATTTGCCCCAGAAAAGCTCTTGACAACAACATGGTTGTCAGTGTTAAAAAGACGCCAGCCTTGCAGGTTCTGGACAATTGAATCTCCTGCAACAACAGTGACATTTTTCATAGAATAATTTGCATGTTTGTTATGTTTCTGGCACAGTATGCAAGTTATTGGTGCCACTGGTATTTGATGGAATTTGTTGAACAACAGGTTCTGTTATTGAATTGACATTTGATGGAATTTGTTGCATGACTGGTTCTGTCATTGAATTGTCATTTGATGGTATTTGTTGCATGGCTGGTTCTGCTGTGGAATTATTGTTTGCTGGAATTTGTTGTAAGACTTCCGATCTAGTTGTGGAAATTGCATTTTCGGACAAATTCTTATCAAGGTTTAGACCTTTTCTATTGCTTTTCGACTTATATTTGCGCTTCAATCTTTGTGACTCCAGGATTTTATTACTTGACAGAAAAGAATCTGGGTTTTTATCAACTACCCGAATCGACTCTTCGACATCATTCATACTTAAATTATGAGATCAATCATGTTGATTAAATACGTTAGTGTCATCAGACTTCAACTGCTCCGCTGCCGTTACCGTTGAGTCAACATGACTTTTGTCTGCACATTGAATAAGTCTAATAGCTGTAATCAAACTAAATTTCTCGTTTTCAATGTCCTTAATACGGGTGTTAAGATCCGATATAACAGCAACAAATTATTGAGTCTCCCAGATAGCACATCGTTATCTTTCTTAAGTTTAGTATTCTCTTTAAGCAATACATTGACTAATTGCTCGGAGACAGGCTCAGACCGGGCCTTTAGTTCGTTCAGATCGTCAAGAACATCACTTATTTTAACATTGAGTTTCTCTTCAATATTTCTAATTTTAGTGTCTGCTAGACTAAATCCAGCTTCTACTGCTTCCGTTAAGTGCACTAAGGATGGGTCATCATTTATATTAGTTTCAGTGGGCAAGGTAAAATTAACCGCATGGACGCCTTCGCCATTGCTGCTGGTCGACACAAACTCATTCTCGCAGCCATTCATAGCTACGATCGACGTGACACATGCGTTAGCTTTAAGATATTTTGATAAATACTCATCTGTGTTGTCCTTTTCGATTACCAACTTTTTTGACTTTTGCCATTTAAGAACAAATTCAGAATCTTGGCCAGCTATGAAATGCTTAGCACCTCCTCCCGGTGACTTCCATATTCCTGCCATTTTTAAGTCTTCGGCAATATAATTCTTTAACTCAGTATAGCTCCCCAACCAACAATATGATTCTCCATCAAAGATTAAGAAATCGGTATATTTAGTGCCATCCATGCCTTCAAAACTATTTTATTTCAAAGTAAAATTACAAACAATCGGCGGAGAACAAAAGACATGTCTGCCCTGTCCAACGGTTAAGAGTCATCAATATTGAATATCTATGAATATTGAATAATATCTGTCAGTTGCCTGATGATCGTGTAAAGCGTGAAACTCAGAGTAGCGACGCAAACATTCAAACCTTGACTGAATTAATTCCTCTCTACTTATTATGGTAATGAGCGCTCTTCTACCTTACGTCAACTCATCGATCATCATCTAATAAAGCTCTTTCAATAGCATATCTATATTATAACCAATTTTCATCTATTGGGATATGAATTAGAAAATGATCAAAATTGTAAAATATACTCCTTTGCTTTTTTTGGGCAAGATGTTTACAACATGAAATTTAGAACAGTAACTAAGGGTTCAAATTCAACAAAGTTTGCAAGCCAAAACACAGTGCTTGTACATCTTTCAAGTTTTTAATTACTTCAAATATATTTAAAAGGACATATGGTACTAGAATCTATTTATTTTCAATATAAACGAAGGATGGGAAGGTGAGAAAATTCCTTAACACAGACAATAACAGCCGACATTTTCAAAGGCAAATTGTGGTGACAAAACCAAAAGTCATTCACTTCTCTACTCAAAGCACTGGAAAACACCATAAAGAGAAAAACATTTTAAACATACGTCAGATAAGACTTTTATCTCAATTTTCTCATGTTTTTGTTGCAAAAGCAACGGTTTTTAGCCAAAATTATTTTGCACCCCAATGTAGGCTGCTATAAAATGTCGAGATCATCTAAAGTGCGAGTTGCGAGTTACGAATATATTGTTAATTTCTAATAATATCGGGTTCAATTTTAACCCAGGTTTAACACTAACCTAGCTTTGAAGCACCGAACCAGGTGTTTACACCTATGGTTTACACTAAAAAATCAAATTGAAAACAGTATGGCATCCTGGCGGATGGGATTTTAGCTTTATCTCAATTTGGCACCAATTTTCAGTTTTTGAAATAAACATTCATTGCATTTATTTTTATACTTAAAAATTTGTAAATGGCAATCGTTAAGTTTTGATGTACTGATGATTTTTTTCCCGTGTTAAAATAAAGTTTATGTATGTATGTATATATAAATTGAATAATTTTAACTTCAGTTGTACTTCTGATGAAAAGGACTTGAGTTTAGGATTCCGAGTGTTCAGTATATATAAACAAACTGAGTCGGTGTCTGGTCATACTTACTAATAAAATTAAATAACCATTTTAAAATTAAAAAGCACAAAATGGTCTGGATAACTACTAGATTTAATTAAACACAGAAACAGCAAATATAAACTTACACTTTTATTTTCAATATAATTATTTTAATTCTTGAACATACGTACCGATGGATCTAACAAAGTAAACAAACAAGTAAAGGCCGATTTTCATCTCGACCGTATCGTAACATTTTCTTTTGCGTCGAAGTCATTAGTTCCACTCTAGTGGTCAGGAAACAAAGAAATACGCTACGATATGGTAGACGTGGACAACCAGCTTAAAGTGCACGGAAAAGTGTTAAAACGAATTTAGTTACAGAGAACTTAACTTCGAAGGTTATTAATATTTATGAAACAAAAAACCCTTCGACTTTGCCTTCCATGTCGTCCATATTTATAATAATATACTTTCAAAGCCTAATTCAAAGTGAGGCTAGCGACTCGCAGCTGGCAAAATAGCCGACCCCTAAAATGTCAGACACACATTCTCTTTTGAAGTCTGGCTCTAAAACACAATCGCTTTTTTTAGTTTGAAATAAGCCTTCATAAGGACTAATTGTGTAGAAATGGCTATCTTTAAAACCAGGAACAGGGAATCGAGGAACGGAACGGAATCGAGGAACGGAACGAGAAAAGCCCGGAATCTTTAAAACTCGGAATGGGAAAAGCTGGAATCTTTAAAACCCGGAACAGGAAAAGGCGGAATCTTTAAAACCCGGAACGGGAAAAGCCGGAATCTTTAAAACCCGGAACGGGAAAAGCCGGAATCTTTAAAACCCGGAACGGGAAAAGCTGGAATCTTTAAAACCCGGAATGAGAAAAGCCGGAATCTTTAAAACCCGGAACGGGAAAAGCCGGAATCTTTAAAACCCAGAACACACGGAATTATTAATTTAATAATTAACAAGACGCTCTTAACTCACTGGGGCTATATAAAAGCTATATAAATGTCATACAAATACGCACATTAATACTAAGCGGAAAAATCAATACGAGCGCAAAAGGCTTAACCCTACAATTAAAGTTATATTTAGTACACTACATTCTTCAAGACTGTCAGCAGTCAGTTGGTCCGTATGCTAGGATTAAACTGCGCTTTAAAACGTTCAAAATAAAATATTTGGGGGCTTTTTGGCTCAAAATACTATCAAAATGAGGAGAGAAGTAAGACGAATCCACTGGTATACGGCCGAAAAAGAGAAAACCAATGATATCTACAATACAATTTCGCTTGGCTTTCAAAGACAAAGCCATAAATCGCTAATTAAAATGCTGTTGTTTAGTAATACATTTGACATCCGTATGAGCGATTTGTTAACAATACAATTTCGCTTGTCTTTCAAAGACAAAGACCATATATCGCTAGAATACTATTGTTTAGTACAATTTGTTACCCTGAATCGAACGGTGATATTTTTATC